ATTAATTGATTTTGTGAGTTGGGTTCTTATCCAGGAATTTGTGGGTCGTCGTTCTCCTTTGCCTGCGATTAATTATTTCGGATTGTAGGTCTAAAATTAAAAAAAAAAAAAAAATAGCACCAACAGCGCCATTGAACTCCTTCCATTATTCGCTGTTTTGGGTGTTCTTCTCGGCCACGGTTTGTTGGGTTTTGTGGGTATGGTGCCGTTTTCCTCTACTTGCGGTAGTTATCTTCTCACCGGCCTCCGTCGTTGCAGATCTCAGTTTTCTTCTTTGGCTGCGGGTTGTTTAAATAAGGATTTGGATTTGTATGGAATTCTAGCTGAGACTGAAAGGCGTGGTTCTCACCTTTGATCAAATACTTACCATTCCCGAACAAGATGAATCAGTATACAGTGCTGGGAAATTAACAACTTGCGTTGCCTTTATTTTGGAAATGTATAAAGAGGTTAGAGTATTTGGTCCTATTACCAACTCAATTCAAGTAACTGAGTTCACAATTCGAGATGCATACATGCTGAAGATTTTTGAGAATTGCCCCTCTACCTCCAAGTTATGATAGGCCCGTATTTCAACGAATGTAATGCTGTTGGTGAAGCTTGTATTATGTGATTTTCTAAGCTGAAAGGATATATATTTTTGTTATTTGCTGAAACAATATGTTCTTTGTTTAAAGTGGAAATATGAAATATTAGTGTTTGTAAGTACAGGTAAAAAAAATAAATAAATAAAAATAAATAAATAAAATAAAATTCATAGTGGCCGAATTGGATGTTTGATTTTGGGGTTGTGGTTGATTTGGATTGTGCACAGGGTGCTTGATTTAGTTAATTGTTTAGAGTTGAATTGGTGATTTGGAAAGTTTGGTTGTTGAATTTTGGTGGTTGATTTGCAGATTTTGGTTTGTCATTGCAGTAGAGTTGTTGCACTTTGGTTGAATTTGCAGTTCATTACAAAGTGAGTGTTGCCAGTCTAAAAACTTTTACTACAAAGCCTAAACTCTGAAATATATATATATATATATATATATAATAAAATAAAAATAAAAAATATAATTTGCCAAGTATCACTAGCAAGACGTTAAACTTAACCCATTTTTTTATTTTTTTTTGTCGGTTGTATATACCTGTTGTTTTTCTTTGTTTCTTTTAAAAAAAATAATAATAAAATAAAATTTTAAAAAAAAAAAAAACATACTATAAAAAATTCAACAATGTGTGTTACCGGTATGCCCTTATGCTTGGTTATGAATGTTTGCATCTCATATCTCTTTGCATCATGTTATATATTGTTTTGAACTGTCTGTCTTGCTTATCCCATGTAATATTTGATGTGAGTTTGTTAGTATGGTTATACAGCTAGGTTTTTGCATCCAAATTTGGGGGAGACATCTTTCCTACTGGATCATTGCCAGATTTCATTGTTTTTACCATCACGGTATACTCTTTCCATCATTTTTCATTGTTCTCATTGCACATTGAGGACAATGTACAGTTTAAGTTTGGGGGTAAGGCCATTATAATTCATTCTATTTTAAGTTGAGTCTTAAATGCATGATGAGATTGGAGATGGTATTTGGCAATGATTTCAAACTTTTGAAACATATGTCTTTGAAAAGTTAGTTGTTAGAGTCTAATACTTCTTGTATGCTCTAGGATGCCATTTAGGGGTAAATTTCAAATTTTGACATCATGTTTGCTTTTGTGGTACACATCATCTGGTTGGTTAAAAATGTTTTGAGAGTTGATTTTAGAATTCTACACTTGCACTTGTGCACGCTACCATTTAATTTGTGGGGTACATGCTTAGTTGATTATTGTTTTGGTTTATCCCAATTGAGCTAGTATGTTTTGAAAGCTTTCATTCTTGATAAAATGACGTTGCAAAGAAAAGAAATAAAAACACTCAACAAAGGTGAGCAAAATCACTCGCTAAAGGTGAGAAATAGAAATAGAAATAGAAATAGAAATAGGAACAAAAATAAATAAATAAATAAAAGAAAAGCATTCACCAAAGGTGGAAAAAAAAAATGAAATCAATTAAAAAAAAAAAAATTGTTTGATTGAATAACAAGGTTCATTCAATGTCTTGATGTCTGGTACTATATCTGTATGCTAGTTTGATGGTAAGGCTATACCATTACTTTAATTTGCTAAGATAGCAACACATTTTGATGTTGGTTCACTCAAAAAGAATGATAGAATTGATTCAATTTGCATGATTAATTGTTTGATGTGTGAAGGATCATTCTTGTTTATATGATGTTGAAATGTTGAGAATAACTTAGAAATGGCAGAAATTTGCATACTTGAAGTAGTCTACTTTCAACACTTGTTTGATATGTGTCGTTACTTCTCAAATAAGAAAGAGTTGTTGATGTTTGTGGGTACCATTTCTGGAAACACTCACGAGATTTTACTCATCCACTAGGGGTAACTTAGGGGTTTAAAAGGCTTGCTGCATATGCTAAATGGAACCGTGATTCCTACGAAAGTGGTGTTATTTTTATTTGTTTTATTAGTTCATAATTGTATATATGTTTGTTTTATTTTCATACTGTAGTTCATTGCTAGGGACTATCAATATCTAAGTTTGGGGGCGTGATAAGTGCTTAAATGTTGTACATTTCAGTACCTAAATTAGGGTATTTTAGTCATTGCATCTATCTTATTTTCATGTGTTTAGTTCTAATTTATGTTTTTATCAATTTCAGGTCAACAAGATTTAAACGGACTAATTTTGGTTCACTGAAACCTTTTTGGAGTCAAGCAAAGACATTCGGAAAAAGTTTAGAAAATGGTAAAAAGAGGTCGCAGCCCATTGGTCGTATAGTGTGTTTATTCTTAAAAAACGGTCAATTCTACCTTTCTCGGGCCCTTGATAATGTTCCCAGAGATGAAGAAGCAAACCAATTAGCCCGGGGCCAAAATGGAGTTACAAAAGGTGTAAAAGGAAATTCCAACTCTGGGGGATCGATCCCCCACTATTCACATAACTAAAAATGCCCTTGGGGGATCGATCCCCCAGCACCTGACAGCATTGCGGGATTGATTTTTAATTGACTACGGGATTTTCTTGTTTTGGGCTTATTTTGTAACTTATTGGTCTCTAATAAGGTTTATTTAAGGGAATCAATACCCATTAGTTTGGAGTAGTTATTTTATTTTATTAGGTTTTATTTTTCTGTATCGTAATATTACGCTCTCTCTGGAAAACACGTGGAAAGGGAGAAAAAGCAAAAACAGGCTAGGGTTTTGAGGAAAAGCTCAAAGATGATGAAGTAGATGATGGAATTTGTTGACACCTTGAGTCCATCAATCATGAGCGGCTAATTTTTCAACTTAGGGTTGGATAAACCCTAAGCATGTAACCTAAACTTTTTCTCTTTGCATACTTTTTGGGGATTTATTTATGTAATTGATGTATAGGCTTGAATAACATGATTTAATTCTTTCAATTGTTTATTCGTATTAATCTCATATTATCTTATGTGTTATTGATGAATAAATAAGCTTTACACTTGAATTCCTTGTAAATTGATTCTTGCGATGTCTATGCATGTGGCTAATTAGTTGTATTTGTATTCCAATTTGATGGATATTGCTTTTACTAGATGGATGGTACTACACAATTAGGTTAATTCGTTTTCTAATTAGTTTAATTTCATGCTTAGTTAGTTCAATTTAAATTTAATTAATTTAATTACACTTAATTCCTAAATTAGAGTAACAATTAACTTTCAGGCTTCAAAATCACTTCCACTGGTTCCTATAATGGAGGAAACATGGCGGCTCGGGTGGCTTCTAGGGCTTCCTGTAACGCGCATGGAGGAGGGAGAGAAAATGAGTAAAACGTAAAGTAACTTTTGTGGGTTTTTACTATTACAAGTTTGAGGGTATTTTCGGTATAACACATATAAATACACATCACTTCTTTAGCACATGTGACAGGAGTATTTTCGTCACAAAAGTCAATTTGTTAAAGCATTTGTTAACCACGCGCTAGGTTAACGGGGCCAATTAACAAAGTTGGGATAAAATAATAATGTTGTTATATTGTTGGGGGTTTTTAAAACTGGTTGGGGGTTTATGATCATTTTTTGAAAGTATTGGGGGTTTTGAAAAATTTGCCCTAAATTTTATTTATTTATAATATTTGAAATCCCAAAGGTAGTTTAATTAAGTACAATCATTTCATTTTCTATTTCATGCTTTCCTAAGTAACAAAATAATAATTTTCTGCACTTTTCTTGTATTGCATATGTTGCGATAAGGGGTGCAACTTGGGCTAGGTAACCTGAACCCACCCCGAGCCAAGCTCGATTTTTCACGGGCTTGAACAATCATTTTTACAATTAGGTTAAACTTGGGTTGAAAAATCTCAACCTGAATTTAATTAGGATTGAACTTAGATTGAAGTATTAACAACCCGAATATGAATTCTAATATTATTTTCATATATATTTTTACTTTTAAATACATTATATATAAAATTTAAACTATGATTACTATTTTTTCCTTTCAACTTTTTTTTTTTTTTGTTTAATCTTAACTTATTGTATGCTAGCATTTAGAAAAATTAATTTTCTAAAAATTTGTTTATAATTTATTAAAAATCTACAAAAAATCTTTAAACTTCTTCTTGGAGTAATTTAATCAAAAACTAATTCAATATCATATTAAATTTTCGATATAAAGATTAGCCACATGAATAACCCAAATTAATCCGAAATTTTAACCCAAAATATAAGCCCGAATTGTAAGCCCAAATTTAAAATTAGAAGGATGAGTTAGGCTCGAGTTAAGTAGGTAAGGTTGATGATAGGGTTAGGGTTGGGCCTGGGTTTAACATTTCATATAGTGGGTTGGACTCAAGTTATACCTCAAACCCGCCCAACGCGCCCGAATTGCAGCCCTACTTGCGATATAAGGAATAAGTGGGGAACTCGTAAAAAGACTTACCTGAACAACTATGTAGGGTTTAAAAGGAAGCAATTGAGTTAAAATTCAAACAGGGTGATCAAATCAAACCAATCTTATATTTACCAGATGAAAGCTACTCTTAAATTTGTAATTGGATCAAGTAACAGAAAGATTATGAAGAACAACAGATCCTCGCACTCATCAAAATCTTCAATAAGCCTTAAAATCCAGAAATCCAGAGACAGGGAAACTAATGGTAGCTCTTTGTTTAGCAGCAGATAGTTCCAAAGTCAGGTTCTCACGTTGAGGCTTATAAATCATAATCGTAATTGCGAAACAACAGATCCTCGTGCTCATCAAAATCTTGAATCATGGATGATGGATCGAAGCCTGGAGAATTGGGGGCTTCTCCTGGATCACTTAGAAGCTGCTCAACTGTAAAGTCCATACCGTCAATGGTGAGCACGCCACAATCATCCATATTACTCGTATCCCCAGTGGAACGGATGTATGAAAAGACATCCAGAGAAGAGGTACTTGGCTGCGTATCAGAGTAATGGCCACAAGGATTCTCCAGACTGGATGAGTTTGAGGGGTGAGTTTCAGAACAAGCATGGATGAGAGAAGTTATATCGTCAAAAGAAACAAAATCCTCCCGGTGTTTTTTCCCGGTGAAAAAATCATCCCGGTGTTCTAGTGCAGAAACAACCAAGTGTTGGGCATCAGCCTGATATCAAAATCAATGTTACTGAGCTAGAAATGACCCCCAAAAAAAAAAATTAATAATAATAATAATAATAATAATAAAAGAATAAGAGAAGCATGCCTTCTTGGTTTCAGAAAGCGCATCAATAGAAACACACTGGCATTCCAAGAGTAGCCCCATCAACTGTCCCACAACATTGAAAACCACCCCATTTTCCTCTTGAGAGCTGGCACGGTACAAGTACACCCTTTTGTCAAGTATGCATGTCCGAGCATGATCTATCATGATCTCCATAATCTTACTTCCAGCACTCTTAGTCCCTCCACCAAGGATCTGGCAACATCCAACAAATACATATTGCTAAACTTCGTAGATCAAAGGAGGTTGGAATAATTTAGTTTCCAATGCAGATAAAAACCATCAGTTTGGTTCAGAAATGTTGAAATTCTTAGAATGTAAACTGAACTTTTTCACAAGGTCATATAACTTAATTTACCTAAATATCAGCTTTGATATTATCATTATTTACGTTTCCTTTTGGCCACTGATTTGCAACTCTTAATTTCAATTAAGAAAATATTTGTGTGGAGAGAAAATTCCCCACCAATCAAACTGCAGCACGTGTACGACAATAGCAAAGTAATAAGAACTCTGCAACTGAGACAAGAACTCTGCAAGATAAGGAAGCAATATCGGCATGGAAATAACTTGTACCTCAAGAATGGAGTCCTAGAAAGCAAGCAATCTTCGCATCCTTTATAGGACTCCATTAGCGTTTTGTACTCAATAAATAAGGGCTTAAGTTCTCAATGAAAGCAAGCAATCTTCGTATACAAGTGTTTCTAGGTTTTTATCAAGTGTTCGTAGGCAATTGATTCCGGTTCGGGCTTTTGAATTCGTCCCGAGATTTTTTGCACATACATCATGGTACAATGCTTTATATATTAAGGACCAAGATGTTGAAGGATTTAAGTATTTAAGTTACACCTTCTCTAACAGTTTAAGCTTTCGAAGTAAATGATTGTTAACATGATATCAGAGCAAGGTATGTCACCTTGATTTAAAATTGAAACACGTGTTGCACCAAAAGAAGGCCCCACTTAAACTTTTAGAGTAGATGGGTGGGAAGAAAACTATCCCTTTCGACCTATTCTTTAAGCCATAAATAAAGAAGTGAATTTTCAATGCTCTCAATGAAGATGAAGTGCACAATTTATCAAAATACAACAGGAATTTTAACAAGACTACTTCCTTTTAAATTGCACAAAAACAAATTTATCAATAAATCAATTCCTTGATAAGAAACCAATGAATAAAACAACATTATATATATATATATATATATATATATATATAGAGCAGTGCCTGTGAGATACAAATTTTGTAATTGGCAATTTTTAGTAACAAAACAAGTCCTAGTCGAGTTGTAATTACAAGTTACCATATCAGGATCGAAAGCGATTGCGAAATTGGAAGATTGTTCAAAGATGCCATAACTGAGATCATCAAGAAAGGAAAGAACAACACTTTAGGAAGAAATCTAAAAAGGTTAGAACACGTTCCATACTTAGTATATTTTTAGAAAATTCCAAAACAATGTTTTCACCAAGTTTCAGCCTTAGGATTCAAGTTTGGCATACTTGAACCGGTTCAAGCCTTTCAAAATTGGCTTTGAAATAACTCTGCCATGCTTGAACCAGTTCAATAGCCTTCTACAGGATTTGGTAAGTTTGCAATCCTGATCTCATTTCTTTCCTACTTGGTTTAGAATTGTACCAAAAGTACTACGCACGAAATTTCCATTATTTTCTGAAGGATTAGGTCTTTGAATATTCTATATAAACTCTGATATTCATCTAGGTTTATTATCAGCTTTTGCACCATCAATTCATTATTCTTAAAAGTCTCAGGAAGATTATTTTTTGCAGAAAATCCAAGAGATCTCTCTGTCCGTCTTTCTAGAACACACACATAAACACATAGTGAGTTTAAGAGTGTTGTTCAAATCCTGATCGTGATCATACAGTTGCATCTACATCGATCAGAGAAAAGCAGATCTACTTCTACATCGAATTCAGATATTGAAGAACATAAGTAAAAGCGATCACACTTTGAAAGGGTCAAAGCATTCGAAGAGTGTTGTTTGATCTACCTGTTACCCTTCTACAAAGATCAAGTGTAAGCCTGAGGTTAAGTTGTTGGACGGGACGTCGCAAAGCCAGAGGATTGTCAGCTATTGGTATTTGGTAGAACGATAGGGTGTGAGCCAGAGTCAAAGTTCAGTGTACTTTGTTTTATACATAGTGGATCGATTTACTTTGAACTGCACAGTCCACGAAGTTTTTCCCACGCAAACAGTTGACGTATTTTTTCAATTGGGGTTTTCTCGCTAAATATTCTGGTGTCATCTCTAACTCTTACTCTACTTTATTTTATCATCCATGTGATTAATTATTTTAATTGCTAAAATAAGTAAAGATTAGAAAGATACAAATCTGTTTCTTAAAATACAAAACTTTCTAAATATTCCACTACGTATAACTCACAAATTGGTATCAGAGCCAATCTCTACACATTGAGTTGATCCTTGTGGAAAGTTTTGATTAATTTCAAAAATTTGTTTTCATCATATCTTGTACGTTGAAAGAAGGTGGTTCTAATCAACGTGGTCCTTTATTTGAAGGGGAGAATTACAATTTTTGGAAATCAAAGATGAGAGCTTATTTGCGAAATTCAAGAGCTAAAACTTAGGCTATTGTTGAATCTGGCTATACACTACCTACAGAAGATAAAACTGTGGATGGTAAAGAAATCAAAGTTTTAAAAGATGCCTTTACTTTTACTGCTGTTGAAACTGAGCATAATGATACAAATGGAAAAGTTTTATATGCAATTATTAATTATGTTGTTCCATCTAAATATGCTAGAATTTCTGATTGTAAAACTGCTAAAGATGCTTGGGATATTTTGCAGGTTACTCATGAAGGGACTTCAAAAGTGAAGTTATCCAAAATTCAGATGTTTTCTCATAACTTTAGGAACATTGTAATAAAAGAAGATGAATCCTTTTCTGATTTTTAATCTAGTCTTCTACAAATAATTTCTGAACTGCGTCACTTAGGTAAAAGAGTTAGTGATAAGAAAATCTGTGAAAAAATCTTAAGGTCTTTACCTAAAAGATTTCAAATAAGAGTAGAAACTATCACTGAACATTGGGATTTGTCTATTTCTAAAGTTTATGAAGTAGTAGATTCATTGAAAACTTTTGAAATGCAGAATTTTGATTTAAATCAGAAGGAGAAGAATCTTGCTTTAAAATCAACACAGGTTGAGAATTCTATCAATGACAACTCTGATGATGATTTTGCTTTTCTGTCAAAGCAATTCAATCAGATATTGCAAAGACAACAGAGGAGAAGGAATGGCAATATGGCTAATCCTCAAAATTTTAACAAGTCCCTCAAAATTTAGGTTTAATGAAAAGAAAGTAGAAGAAACAAAATAAACTGAATTCACTTGCTGGAATTATGGTGGCAAAGGTCACGCATCCAACATTTGTCCTAGTCCTAAGAAAGATCAAAATGACAGAAATTAAAGGAAAAGCAATGAAAGTATCTATTTCTGAAAATTCTGCTTCTAGTGATAATGATTCTCCTGATGATGATTCTAATATTTTTCTTACGTTGCTTTTCTTTAAAAAGGTCCTCATATTGTTACTTTATCTAACTCTGATATTTCAAATAATGAAGACAATGTAGTTCATGATGAACAGGTGCAAGAGGATGAAAATGATGACGAAAGATTGAAGAAGATGGTCGAAGAAACCATTGAAGTCAAACAGGCTATCAATAAGTTAGCAAAGGAGCTAATTTAAGCAAAAGGGGAGAATGAAAATATAAGAAAACAGATTGATGAAGGAAAAAGAAAAGCTTTTGAAAGCAATTCTATCATGTTTGAATAAATTTAAAAACATGGCTAAAGATGTGTGTGATAAAACTAGGTTAGGAGTAGATAAAGGCTTATCTAATAATCAAGTTCAAACTTTTGTTATTAGACCTGCTGATTATCATATGCCTAATAAATGTTTGCCTGATGCATTGCATTCTAATATATCTTATGTGCCTAAACTATTCCATTGCACTTTTTGTGGAAAGAATGGACATAAATATCATTCATGTTTTCACAGGGAAAAGAAATTTTTTTCTAAAATTCATTCTCATAATGTTCATGCTAAGAAAAAGATACAGTCTAATAAGAAAAAGAATTTTGTGACACCTAAATTTTCTAAAGCTGAAAATTTACCTAAGAAAGACGTAAAATATGAAACATAATTTCAGGAAGTGAGAGTGAAGACTGTGTGGATCAGAAAGAAAGATCTGATCAATTATGTGCCTGCTGAGTCCGTGGAACTAGTTTCCAAAAGGAGTTCACCTTCAAACTGAGTCCTAAGATAATCAGTGATCATGGTGTGTGCGTAAATGAATATTTTGTTGCCATTGGATAGGGTTTGGTTAGGGTGTTAAGTTTCTGATCATATTCTTCATGATATATGTGTGAAAGTTCTTTAGAAGAATTTATGATTTATCTTTGAATGCAAATTGAGACACATGATTATTTGGTAAAAATATATTCTTGGCTTGTAATCTATACAATGAAAGATAATTTGCATTCATTACGAGATTTTTAGATTTGAATATCTTAATTTCATAGTCTTTTGTGCATTAGTCCATCTTTGAAAAATTTGATTGAAAATCTTTGATCTGTTGACTAGAGTTTATTGATCACAAAAGCTGTAAAGGTTATTATCTAAAAAAAAAAAATACGAGCTTGAAAAAAAAAATGATGAACATATTCAGCTTAAAAAAATAAAATAAAATTTTGAAAATTGCTGAATTCTTTGTTAAGGAAAAGGCTACCTATTGAGATTTGATCGAAAACTCCCATTAGACTTTGAAGAGGAGCTAATTGAGTAAAAAGAAAGGTGGAGATAAGTTGAATTGGGGGATTGCTATCTGCTCTTTAGAGTGAAAGCCACCTTGCTTAGAAAAATTGCTCGAAAACAATTTTATCTTGACGATTTTCGATCAATATGATTTAGACAATGATCAGTTGAAATTCGATTGAAAATGGATTAGATTAGATTTCACACACGGACATGAACTTGCTAGATTAATTTCTAAATTTTTTAATAAAATTTGCAAGTTAGATTTCATGTTGTGATTACTTTCTGAGATTTGAAATTATTTGAAAACTTTGTGGAGTCAAAAATTTGTACTCTTAAATACTTTTTAAAAATTCTCTGAAAAAGTTTTGAATCATGTGTTGACTAAATG